TAAAGGTACATTCAGTACATTTAGAGATACTAGTATAAGAATCTCCCTTTAACTGTATAATATTAATATAATAGAAGTATAATAATATGTTAAACTATCTTAGAGACCCATAATAAAGCCAACTGTATAATTGCTATATTTCACCTTTTAATGCAGTCAAATCTTGGTTTGCCCGTAACTTGATCTGCAAGTATTCTGCAATACTAGCAAACATTTCTAAGAAATTTTAACTTGATAAACAAGTGATGTCTTGCAATACAAGTAGTAAGTACTCATATCAAATGTCACATTATCACAACTCATTTCTGTCTCACTCTGTCTTTGATACACAAGTGCTTTGGATTACAAGCAAAATGAATTATTCTTGAAAACCAAGATTTTACTGTATTTTATTTTAAAATTATGCACCACTTTTCTTAAGTATAATGCTAGTAGTATCTAGTATTTTATTTGTATGTACCAGATTTTTGCATCAGAAGATGATAGATAGCATTTTAAAGTAAATGCCAAAACTGTAATTTGCCTAGACTTTGGAACAACTTAGCACAGTGTACTGGTGGCTGAAAGGTTCAGGAATTTAATTTGTTTCACATTTCTGGGAAAGATGGCTGCAGTTGGGTTTATCACCAGATGTAGAGTACGTAAACAAAAATAAAATTTTGCCAAACACTGCTGTTGGCAAACCATATTGTTCGCAAACAAGTGTTTGTGAACCAAAGTACCACTGTCATTATCATCTTCCTGAAAGTTTTATGAAACCCATCCTGTCTGGCTGAGAGCACTAGGGAAGGGGAGAATGGTCAGGAGTGATCAGATTTAGATCTTTATAACTGGGGGAAATTTAGATATTAGAACTGCACCTAATGCTGGAAACATTTTCAAAGTATGATTTATTTCTTTATTCTTTTCTCAGAGGAACAATCATTTTATATTTCAACCACAGAAAATATGTTGCTATTTACTATGAAAAATAATTTTCCAGAATATGCTCATTGAGGTATTTCTTGGTTTTTCACTTGGAAATTAAGCAGATACCAGTTTGTTTCAGTAATGCATTTAGGTTGTCCTTACAAATCATTTACTCCTTCACAAAGTCTGTTTTAAAAATCATCTAGCATTCATCCTTAAATTTTAATCTTGGTAGGTATAGAATGTAAGTTGACATTTCAGTGTTTCCATTTCAACACTTAAATTACGGCATTTCACTACTCACTGGACTCCATTTGTTTCTGATGAGAAGTCAGTATTCACTCAAAAGTGTTCTTCCCCTATACATTAGATGTCATTTCTTTGGCTATGTTTAAAATTTTGTTTTGCTTTGGTTTTTCAGCAGTTTGACTACATTGTGCTTCTGTATGGTTAATTTGTTTGTTTTGGGGTTTTTGTTTTTTGTATGTGTGGGGGGTTTTTGGTTTGTTTGCTTGTTTGAGGTTTGTTGATCTTAAATTTACACATTTGTCTTTTATCAACCTGGGAAAATGTTTAGCCATTACTACTTCAGATATTTTCCCCACCATATTCTCTGTCCTCCCTCCTTCCAGTCTCTGATTACAGATATTTAAGTTTTTGATACTTTCCCACAGGACCATAAGGTTCTGTACCCTTTTTTTTTTTCCCAGCCCATCCTTCAGATTGCTTTGTCTTCAAATTCACTGACTTTTCTGCCATTTCCTGTCTCCATTTAAATTCATCCAGTGCACTTTTCATTTCAGATATTTTATTTTTTAGTTCTAGAATTTCCATTTGATTCTTCTCCCAAAAAAAGTATGTTTCCTTGCTAAGAATTCCAAACATGTTTGCCCTTATATCCATGAGCATAGGTAAAATGGCTGCTTTAAAATCTTTTTTCTTCTAGGTATTTTGTTTTATAGTACATGTTTGCAGTACATAATGTTTACATTACTTATGTGTTGGTACGTGTATCTTAATTCCTTTCATCACCTCCTTTTCCTCCCTTCTCCCTCCCTTCCCTTCATCTTTTGATCCCCTTCCCATTGAGAAAGATCTATCCCCCCACCTCCTATTGCCTTTTATTTTGGTCTTTATTTATAATTCAAGTTTCTAATATAAGAGGAATCATGCAGTATTTAAGTTTGTATGTCTGATTTATTTCACTTAACATTATCGTCTCAAGGTACATCCATTTTCCTACAAATGACTCAAGTTTATCTTTATGACAATACTACATTGTGTATATATACCACATTTTCTTTATCCACTCATCTATTGATGAACATTATAGGCTGCTTTCAAAATTTAGCTATTATGAATTGTGCTGCTATAAACATGAGTATTCATGTATCACTGTAATATGATGCCTTTAGTTCTATCAAGAAGATACCTAGAAGGGGAAATAGCTGGATCAAATAGGATTTCCAAAATTCTTATGTGCAGATTTCACCAGTTGAGTCATCTTGAGGTTGTTTTCCATTGATTGTCTTCTCTTGAGCATGAATCCATTTTTCCTGTTGTTTGGTTCATTTTAGTGGACAGTTAACTTGACTGAACCCAACCTACAAATTCTGGAATCTCCGATCAGGTACTTTAACCTTAGCTTGGCTACTAGAATCTGTCTCAGGTTTAGAAATCAGATATGTGTGCAAAGGATTCAGGGCTTCCTCTCTTTGGCTTTCTTTCAGCCTTTGAAGTCATGCCAGAGCCTGTCCTTTGGTTCAACAAGCATTTAAAGACTACATTTTCTTCTGAGTCTTAGCTACCCAAACCAACTGAGGCCTGCTTTCTGACTAAAAGCCACATAAAAATGGAAGATCATCCCTGCTATTTCCTTCTTCCAAATATTGGCCTCCTCACCACCACCATTTCTGTTTGTGCCTTCTGCCTTCCAAGCATTGTTTTTAATAGATTGTCTAGTGTACATAGTTGTTATTCATGAAGAGTTAGTCTACAAGAGCTGTCTGTTCAGCCAATACGGGAAGTATAAGCTGGGCAACAGTGGTGCACAATTGGAATTGCAGCTATTCAGGTGGCTGAAACAGGAGGATTGGGAGTTCAATCCCAACCTGGGCAACTCAGCATCCTAGCAAAATTCTTTATTTAAAAAAAAGTTGGTGGGGGGTGTGGCTCATTGTGAAGGCCCTAGATTTGATCCCCAGTATGGGGTAGAAGGAGAGGAAGCAGTATTAGGATGGTGATGATGGGAGAGAGACAGAAGTGTGGCAGCATTTTAGATAGAAAAGTTGGCCAGGGAAGCAGTCTCTGAGGAAGTGTCATATGATCAGAGACCCTAATGAAGCGAGAGGGAGAGCCATGCAAGTATCTCAGGGAAGTGTTCCAAGCAGTAGGAGCAGTAAATCCAAAAGCCCAAAGGGAGAAATTTGATTGGTTTCTTTGAGAAGTCTCCAGAAGATCATTTAGAACCAAGGAACAAGGATAATGGTAAGAGATAAAGTAGAGGAATAGTAGTTAGCAAGAGGCCTTGTCAGGTCCAATTTTGAGCAGAGGGAGTGATTGCTCTGATTACTTTTCACAAAGTTGACTCTGGTCACTAGAGAAAAGCCAGAGCAAAGAATGAAAGGTGAGGAGACCATTTAGGGGACTTGATAATAGTAAGTTGTCTAGGTGAATTATGGTGGCTCAGACAAAAGCAGCTAATGGCTGGGAAAAAGTGATCAGATTCAAAGTAGTTTTTGTCGATAAGACTTGATGGTAGAGTAAATGTGTGATGGAAAAAAGACCAACTGGATGAATGAAGAAATGGAAAAGACTGAGAAAGGGTTAACTTGGATATAAGGGAATTAAAAGCTCTATTTTGGACATGTTAAGTTTGAAATGAGTTTTAGATAGCCAAAGGAAATGTCAAATAGTTGGATATTATTATTCTGAAGCTCAAGGAAAAGATTGGGTTTGGAGACAATTTTTTCAAGTTTTAGTGTATAATGCTACTTGAAGAGGTATATTTGAATAAAATATACCTTTCTTTAATACCTTAAAGAGAAATGTAGGTGTACTTGAAAAGAAACCTTATGTCTGAGGTCCGTTTGCCTGCCAACAATTAGGTATAAAGAAGAGGATCTGGCAAAGAAAACTGAGAAGATGGTGCCAGTGAATAAAAGAAAAAAAAAAGTGTATAACTCTCAGAAGCCAAATGAAATTGTTTAAAGAATGAGAGAGTAGTTGTTTCATGGAGCTTTAGCCCAAAATGGGGGAGGTACAGAGAAATGGGCTAGTAGCTGAAGAGGAATCAAGGGAGGCTTTCTGAGAGTGAGCAGTTCTGTAGCCTGTTTATCACCCCTTAATTATTTTTAAATATCATTTACTAATTTGCAGTACGTCTCTTTTCTCCTGCAATACATTTGTAGACTAGTGCTTTTAGTGGTAAAATTGCTGAGGGATGGAGGTTTACATAGAAATACTTTTTAGGAAATCTGTGCTGCAAATAACTTTGGCTGTATTTTTACCTGTGAGATGTAACTAAATTGAAGTTATATCAGCAAAAGAATTTAGTAAAATTCAACTGAATAATAAAATATCTAAATGACCTTTTACTCTCTTGGGAACTCTGGAATTCTGTCATAAGCAAATGTACTTAAAAATGCCTTCATCTATTATGCTGTAGAATGTAAAGTGTTGGGTACACATTAATGAACAAAAGACATAATTCCTATATTCATAAAATTTGCAGACTTTATTTTTTTATATTAATGTTCATGAAGTTAAAAGAAATACTATAAATAAGAAATGAGTTTCAGAGATTGTGTTTTATTATATTTATTTTCCCCCAACCCCATACCGGGTATTGAACTCAGGACCCTGTGCTTGCACATAAAAAGGAATTAGACAATGTGAAAGTTTGTCCTCAGGAGTTATACTGAAAAAACAGTATTAACTATATGGAGAGCATTACAGGCCTAAGTAATATTTTCATAGTTTATTTTGTTGGATGCTAAGGCACATGCCTTTTTATACTGAAATTTTAAGTCCACAATAATTTTCATTCTGTGATCAATTCTCATTAAAAAATTTTTTTCTTTCTTTCACAGAAAATGCTTGGACAGAAGAGATGAGTACTAATTCCACTAAGGTCTAGAATTGCCTACTGTACAAATAGTCCTGATCAGGCAATATACGAATGGCCCAAGGAAGCCACCAAATTGATTTTCAGGTTTTACGTGACCTGCGACAAAAATTCCCTGAAGTACCTGAAGTTGTTGTATCCAGGTGCATGTTACAGGTCAGTGTTCAGTGATCTCTGAATTTATTAATACAAATCTGGTGTACTTTAAACATTGAAAGAAAACATTTTGAACTTATTTCATGTTGTAATTAGTGTGCTGTGATAAAAAGAAATGAACTTTGGTGTCCAATAGTCATGTGGCCTTCGGCAAGATTCAGCTCTCTGTACTACATATGTAATGTGGATAATCTATCATATAAAGTAGATACAAGGGTTAAATGAATTCTAAATGTAAAGCATTAATACATGATCCCATACTTACTAGCCGTTGGCATGCTTCACTTTTTCCCTCTTGTTTTGTCAGAACTTTAAAAAAATTCCACATATTAGTATAAAAATGAAAAAAATTATTAAATTAAGGAGTCAGAAAACAGATCACATATCAGTTGGGCACTGCAAGTATTTTTGGGAAAGTTCTCCATATTGTCTCTTTGTATTATTTGTAAAATGAAGGAGTTTGACTTGATAATGGAAAACGATTTTTGAATTTTTAATTTATAATTACAGTTTTCCAACTAATATAATAATAACTAATAACATAATAATAACTAATATGTTCTTATTTTAGAAGTCCATAATTTTGAATATTTGTATTTATGTATTTCCATTTGATTAGACTGGAAATCTTTCTATCAAAAGTATTTTAGACTTGGATTTATTTAACCTTGACAAATAACTTTTAAAGTTTAAAGTTAGGAAATTTGTATCAAATCTGTACTTGATATCAAGTGGTTACATACATTTTGTTCACAACCTTATCATCTTGTATCTGTACTTTTCATTGGTCTACTTGCCTTTATCCTAATCCACTTGTGGTCTTCACAGTCCATTATCTTCTGCCAGAGGGTCTTTTAAAATTCAGATTTAGTCATGTTTATGTGCTTAAAACTTCCTGATTGTTCCCATAACCTTTAGAATGAATTTCATGTCTTGACTAGGCTGTACTAGTCTGTGATCTGAACTCCTGGCTACTTGTTCCTTGTTATATCTGGGCTGCATGGCATTCTCCACATTTATCTGACCTTTCTATAATACGATGATTAAAAACATAAGTTGTAGTAATAAATAGATTTGAGTTCAAATTTTGACATTTACTAGCAGTAATTTAGTTAACCTCTGACTCATCTTCTGACTTTCCTTTCCTCAACTGCAAAGGAAATAAAAAAACTTAATAGAGAATTAAATGATAATACAGGTAAAGCAATTCTAAGATACCTGATTCATAATGAGTGCTTAGTAAATATTAGCATACCTGTACTAACAGGAGTAATAATTGTAGAAGGCCCATAATAAGTAATTGGTAAAAGCCTTTCACCTTTGTCAATATAGAATATGAAAGGAAAAAAATAAAGGGGAGTGGAAGTAATAAGAATGGAGTCAGAAGTTAAAAGAAGGAATGGGGAGAGAAAAGATTTGGGAAAAGATAGTCTCCCCATAGATCCCAGTTCCTTTTCCCTAATTTTTCAAATAAAATAGAACTTGTAAAATAAAGCTACACTGAGAGTGTTAATGAATCTTAAAAGATTAATGGGAACATACTACAAGTTCTTCAACCAAATTTGATAACCTTGATTTTGAAATAACTATCCAGAATACTTTCGTTTGGTTAGTTGGTGTTTGTTTGTTTGTTTGTTTGTTTTTAAACAGGATCTCACTATATATATATATAGAGAGAGAGAGAGAGTCCAGGCTGACCTTAAACTCACTCTGTAGCCTAGGGTGACCTTGAACTCACAATGACCCCCCTGCCTCAGCTTTCTGTATGCTGGGATTATAGGCACGTACTACCACTCCTAACTCCAGAACACTTCAATAGCCAGTGATAGTGGTTTTAAAATGTTATTTGGGAGTAGAACACAGAACCTTTTATAAAATTACTTAAAATATTTTCCGAAAAATAGAGCTCTAGTGTTCTCTTCAGTATGATCTTCGGAGATGCCCTTATATATCAATAAGGGGAGGAGGAATAAATATACACATACACATATACATACACACATACACACCCGTTAGCTCAACTGCTAGAATGGTTAAAAACAAAATTAATAAAAGATAAATTCTATAGAGAATAGAAGATAAGAGGGAACAGGCCCGATAGGGACAGAGTTAGAATTGCGTTTGGTTTTTTTTATTTTTGTCAATATATTGTTTAAAAATACAATAATTAAGCATGTTTTTCAGCTTTACCAAAAATTTAAAAATAGGTTATTTTAGATTTCGTCTATTTGCCATGCAGACTAGAAGGAAACCTGTTTGCTTGGAAGTTACTTAGACAGGACATACGTTTTAAAAGTGAGTTGATAGTCATTCTGGGCATCTAGGCAATTTCCTTTTCAGCTGATAAAACAAAAAATGTGACAAGAAAGAAGAACTGGTTTGTTTGAGTATATCAAGAGTGTAAATCTCCCAAATTTGAGAAAATACTTTTAAACTATAAAGGCAAATTAAATTACCTCTAAATGTAACATAAACATCTCTTATTTGGTGATAGCCTCTCTTTTGGGAGCTGTTTGCCCTTTCTCAGTTGCGTCATTATCTTGAGAGATCCTCACTATAGTGTACTGGGTTGGAATATTTTAAGAAAAGGGTCATGCTGTGTTACTTCCCTGCTCTTAGAGAAGAGTTCCTCTTCTGTTCTCTTCTTGACTTTATTATTGCTTAGATCTTTTTGGAACTACTATACTCATTCCTCTTGATCCTATGGATTCTCTAAGATAGCTATATTATTAACAGGTATGATTTGCAACTTTAAAATGTGTGTTTTTAAATTTGTCTTTATATTTTGCAGTTAAATCATAGCAAAGTAGTGTAGAAATGTTGCATAGTTCACACTTTCATTTTAAACTGCATTTTTCACTATTTTTAAATTTTCTTTTTCTTTTTGTTTCCCGCCCATTAACTTTATTGGTACATTTTAGGTATAAAATACAGTTACATTCATCATTGGGACCTTGTACCATTACATGAGTCTCTTGGTTCTTATTTTTTTTCCCCTTCCCTTGCCTTCCCTTCACCCCCTCC